TATTTAGTTCCTTCGGTATAGGTAATTGTGTTTTAAATTAAAAAATGTTTAAAATCGTAGCAGCCGTTCAGGAGGAAAGGGGTTTTAAATGAAAAGGTTGAACACGCTTAGTGAATTGATAAAAAAAGTGTCAACATTCAAGAATACTATCTGTACCTGGAGAAAAAACAGCAGCAGGAACACAGAAGACAGCAAAATCGGCAGAGATCCTTAATAAAGCGTTGTATAGACACCTTTCCTTTGGCTGTATTTCTGCATGTTTCGAAATACTTCTGATCATGGTTTTCATTTTTTTTTTATCTTAATAACACTGATGAGTCCTCAATGAACAAACTGGTCATATAGTCCAGCAAATGTTTTACTTTAATTTTTTGCATCAACAAACTATAGCTTATACTTATTTCTAGTGATAACGTTACCTAAAACGGTGGGAAGTGCGACCAAATTCTACAAGCCTTTAAGCACTTCCCGCAACGCATGTGGTGGCCAGTAAGACGTCTATCAAATACAGGATCGTGCGTCTATCATCAATTGCTTCATTTGCTGCGTAATTCACTGGACAACAGGTAACATATATTCAAACATCGTGTGCAGGAGCTGAAAAGATGATGTGCAGGCGCGTAGGTAGCCCCTTTACCATGTGTAAGCCCCGACATGGGGTTGCCGAAGGCAGTCCCACCCCCACCACCCCCACCACCCCAATCACCCCCCGAAGCGCGAGCAGGGGGAGGGTACGGGAGTGGGTCTTCCCCCTCCCGTAAGGGGGGTTTGTGGGGTCTCCCACATGAAAATTTTGTTTTCTAGAACGTCTCAGGAGCCATTTCCCACGTCCTGATGTCTGAGATAATGATATGTTGTAATTTATAAAATAGTTTTAAAAAAGGGGCCGGACTTGCCCTGGTCTCCCCTACACATGTATAATACATGTGTAGGGGGGACCGGGGCAAACACGGCCCCTTTTCTTTTTTCAAGACGTTATGGAAGGCATGTACTATACTGTTGAAATGCATATTTATATATGTCATTTAGAAAAGAAATGTATTGTCTTTCATAAACTAATAACCAAATCGTAAACAAGACCATATTTTGGGAATTATTGGACTTTTTAGGTCGAGAGAGTTGGGGGCCGGACGAGCCCCGCCCTGAGGTAAATCCGGCCCCTACAAGGGCAAGTATGGCATGAAGGATAGAGAAGACAATTTACTAATAAGTGTATGGAATTTCATTCAATTCTGTTGGAAAATAAGTCCAGAACAAATCAGTGAATACGAAGAAAAATACTTAATTTTTGCGACGTAAAAATATTATTTTTGTGGTCAATTGGGTGACGTTAACAATAGTGACGTCACTTGGCACAATAACAATTGCATTCGGGGTGGCCGAATGTGCCCCGGCAAAAGGGGCCGAACGTGCCCCAAATTAATATTTTCATAAAAAAAACCACGTTGATTGTCTGTGTCCACTGTGCCATACTCGGAGTCGTTTGCGCCAGGCGTGAGTTTCTCAATTTACTCAATCGAGCAGTTTAGTTCCGCCTGGAACTGTCCATTAATGCAATGGACATTTCTAAACTTCATACATTTTTGTACTAACTATTAACACTGTATCATATCTGAGGAATTACATATGTATACTATATATTCAAAACTTAAACTCCACTTTATAGTATCAGCAAGAAAAAATAATGACATGAAAACCCATACTTGTCAAAATCATGTGCAAGCCCGGGCTTATTGGCTTACATGGTAGCTACGCGCCTGATGTGTGACTAATGTCACCACTGAAGAAATATAATGCTTGTCGAGAAATCAAAGACGTCATATTTGTCTCATTTTGTTATAACTGTCGTCACGTGGTGTTATTAATTACACGTGATGTATGTAATTACTCAGTATAAAAATGACAAATATTTGCTTTTTTTTTGTTATTTCTTCAAAATGCTAACTTGTATATCAATTGCGTGGGCTTGATCAAGTTAGTAGAGTTATCATACATTATCTTCAAAAGGAAAACATGTCAAGTAACATCCAAATCATGATGTAGCAAATCGTTTCCCCTCCTACGGTTCTACAGTGAAGTGTTACAACCCTATGATTTACTTTTGTAGTACTGTCATTCCCTAACCAGAAGTATTCTTTCCTTTGTACTTGTTTTGTTAAGAACATACCATCTGGTTACAATACAGATCAGAGTAGAAAGATAAAAATAACAAAAAGAAAGAAAGTAACATCCAAATTTAATAACTTTATTGATATCACACAAACAGTTATGCTCATTTCATGTAAAAGACTGATGTAAAATATTAATGGTTATTATGTATCACAGTGATATAGCCTGATAAAAATCCCATATAAATACATGGTCACACACACGTACACACATATGTTGTTTGTCACAATTACATAATTAACTTACACATCCACGTACAATATAACCTGTACAATTCTCAACATACACATTGAATTATTTCCGTTGATTATGATATGCATTGTCAACACAGTCAATTAATCCTCTATGATAAAGGTTATCATGGACATACCTTACAACAAGATCTTGTATCCAAAGTTAGGGTCATAGATATATTGCCAACAAATCTTGTATCTAACGTTAAGTTCATAGACATATTGCCAACAGATCATGTATCCAAGGTCGATGTCAAAGATTAATTGCCAATAAATCATGTATCCAAAGTCGTGGTCAGATACATACCCATCAGATCATGTACCCAAGGTCAAGGTCATCCGTGAAATCTTGTATTCAAATTAAAGGTCAGAGATACATTGTCACTAAACCATGTATCCAAGGTCAAGGTCATCCGTGAAATCGTGTATTCAAAGTAAAGGTCAAAGATAAACATTGCCACTAGATCATGTATCCAAGGTCAAGGTCACAAATAAAGTGTCCATTGCAATAAAAGTATCACAGTATAGTGTTCTACGTTGTCACAACAAGGTCAATTATCACAGATTTCAGTAGAATTCGTGTATCAATAAAACAGGAGATCAACTGTTTCACAGGCTACGAATACAAGCAACAAACAATGTATTGATACTCATGCTTGTACACAATGCCATGCAGTTATACCCAACTCTGATTGTCTATTGGCTAAATAGCTCTTGTGTGCAGCAGGAATGACGCTGCACATGTAAGAGCTGTTTTGTTCAGAGTCTGTGGTGAAAACATTGTGTTTTAGTCATATTTTCACATTGCAGTAATAGCTACTGTAAAGTGAAGCATGATCCTAAAATCCTGCCGAGGTATGCATATGTACATATAGAGTTTAAAATATTGTTTTAACTCTATATGTATATATGCATACCTCGGTAGCATTTATGACACATGGAGTTCTGCTGAGGAATTAAATTTCTTAAAAAAACCCCAAAAAACTCCTAATACCCCTATATTACACAAACATATCAGTATCACAGCAGGATTATTATCCTTTTATTCAATGTAGTAGATATCCATACGAGTAGCACAGGGGTGGTGGGGATCGTGCTACACTGCCTAGTGGTAGCTATCAGTTGATAGTTAGTGCAAGTTCATTAGATGTATAAGGGAATGACTCCAAGTCATACACAATTTATCACCCAATTAGAAACAAACCCTCATTCCAGTGTTTTACCCAAATATATATAACACCATGTATCTATAACAAATATCTTAATTACAGACTGCACATGTCCCTCCCAAAACACTGTATGCACAAGCATGTTACACCTATACATATATAGCTATGTAGGTTACAAACAAAATCTGATTTACTAAAAACGGGTTTTGTTTTCAATCAGACTTTTACAAACGCTCTCAACACATGTGACAATGGTTCAGGGAGGATTGCATAGACTCTTATGGTTTATACTATCACATACGTAAAGCTCTTAAATAACTTCTGGTTTATACTATCACATACCTAAAGTACTTACATAACTGAATGATCGTTTATGCAGATACAATTTACACTCCATTGTGTTCAGTTTAAATGTATTAATGTTTGTCGAAACCTAGAACGATTATCAGGAGTAACACCAGTATATCTGTGCAATTCAGGCTTGTTTCTCATCAGTCATGAAAGAACCCTCAGACACTAAGTGCTTTAAGCCTTTCATATGAATAGGATTACTTGCTAGGCATGTGAGTGATCTTATTAAACAATAACCTAGTTAACGTTATTATTCTCTTTTATCGCACAATGTACTGTGTTATCCAGTGAGTATACCCATCACACAATGTACTGTGTTATCCAGTGAGTATACCCATGTTCTATTTTTTTGTGTATTAACCCTTGTAATATGACCTACCAGCCCTGTGATTGGTTGTAAGTTTCAATTGTTTCAATTGTGACATCATGCCTGGGACAAGTACATGACGTCAAAGACTTACTGGAGTCAAAACGGCGGCTTTTAACATTTCAAGGTTGCATGAAAATAGTCGTTTTACACGAATAAATGCCAAAAATCTTGAATATGTGATAAAAAGGATCTTACACTCGTTTTCATTTCATATGAAATTTTTGAAACTCGTCACAAATTTTTCATTTTAGCTTGCCAGAGGCTCGCTAAATTAAAAAATTCTTTGACTCGTTTCATTAATCTCATATGAAATGGAAACTCATGTAAGATCCTATAAATATAAGGCAGCGTCAGACCTTTGCTGGCAGTAGTAAGGGTGGCCCTATGTGTCCTGTAGAAACGCGTCACTACAACAGCGCGACAGCCATACATCAGCCAGTCAGTTATATTGCACCAACAGTAGACTCACAACTTACTGATCTCTCCCATTCCAGAAACCAGTTCTATATCTATAGTTAAGTGTGTAAAAATGTAACGATTGGCAAGCAGGTAAGCATTTCTTCATCTAGAAGCTAAACAAACTTAATATTTCTACACGTCTGTGTATTCTACATGTTTAAGGATATCAACTATTTCTACACGTCTGTGTATTCTACATGTTTTAGGATATCAACTATTTCTACACGTATGTGTATTCTACATGTTTACGGATATCAACTATTTCTACACATCTGTGTATTCTACATGTTTTAGGATATCAACTATTTCTACACGTCTGTGTATTCTACATGTTTAAGGAGACCGACATGATATAAAAACAATGCCACTTTACATATTCACTGACATGGCACCCAGACATCTCCACACTGTGTACTGTTTAACAAGCTTTGCTGGAAGAACATTTTCTTACAAACTGAAAATGTACCTTGATCTTGACATTGCTGATACTAATGTACTTTGTATACATATTTTTTAACCATCTATATTCTGTTGAAAGAGCACTTTTTCAGTATTCAGATTTAGTTAATTTCACTTAAAACTTATTCAGAATACATTACGTATAACGCTCTTCAACCATGCTAAGGAAAAACTCTTTTTCAATAAAAAATACTGTCACCCCCCACTGTACGTTGTATTGATCTAGTAGTTTGAATCAAAGTACACACTGAGCTATGTACCTTTCGCAAACACCTAACTGACTCTGCTGGCAGTGTCATGAGTAGTACTAGAGCTGTAACTGGGGGAAAAAAAGTTACTGATAGTGACAAGCTGTAGATTATCGACATGGAACAAACTACCTGAATATGTTACTTCAGCAAATAATGTTAACAAATTTGAAAATGAACTAGACAACCACTGTAAAAACAAGGAACTTTTTTTAAATTACAGAGCTGCAATCATATAATTGTCAAATTATTAATATTATGCGCATAATTATACTTTGTTTGTATTTTTTGAGTCTGGTATCTATAGAGGACATGTGTATAAGCCCTGAACCAGAAATTAACTTATCTTATCTATCTTATCTTATCTTATCTTATCTTATCTAATGCACCAATGCTATTTGAATAACATTAAAATATTAACGAGTAGTCCTATACAATTATATATCATTAGAATTTTCATCCTCAGAATAATCAAAGGTAACCAGAAAAGAAGGCAATTGTTCTATGTGTCAGTGAAAGGACCCCCTACTCTGTTATAATTTCATTGTTATGAGTATGTGATGACCAACAGTTTTATACAGGTAGTACCACATCCTCAACCACAGCACAAATACAGGTTGGTTGCTTTAATTTAATTAACATTTCACACTGTCATATTAGATCAAAAATATATGAATAAACACCAACATTAAAACAATAATTGAGATATAAGAACATGTAATGAAGTCCATCTCTGAATGCTGAAATTGTCAGGCTGCCATTGTATACAATGTAAATGGTCATACATCATATACCTGTATATGTGTAAACATTCTCCCAGAATGCTGTGTCATGACAAAGCTTCAAGTATGCAAGGTATATCTGGCTAAATTGAAGGCTCAAACTGCTGTGTTAGAGTTAAGAATTTAAATCAAATTAATAAACCTAATCCATTTCCAGAAAGCCCGCCCTGTAGTAGTTACACAAACAAAGCCAAGCTCTGATGGACTGGAGAGTATTCCAGAAGCTACAAACTCCTTACTGTCACCCCCCACTGTACGTTGTATTGATCTAGTAGTTTGAATCAAAGTACACACTGAGCTATGTACCTTTCGCAAACACCTAACTGACTGTGCTGGCAGTGTCATGAGTAGTACTAGAGCTGTAACTGGGGGAAAAAAAGTTACTGATAGTGACAAGCTGTAACTTGACATTACTCCAACAGTAACATGACAGAACCAAACAGTCATTGACAGTACTGCAGTTGTGACTGATAGTACCAGACAGTCATTGACAGTACTGCAGTTGTTACTGATAGTACCAGACAGTCATTGACCGCACTGCAGTTGTGACTGATAGTACCAGACAGCCATTGACAGTACTGCAGTTGTGACGGATAGTACCAGACAGTCATTGACCGTACTGCAGTTGTGACTGATAGTACCAGACAGTCATTGACAGTACTGCAGTTGTAACTTACAATAACACAACTATAACTGACAGTGCCATGCAGCCTTTGACAGTACCCCAGTTGTTATTGATACAGTGGTAATTCCCAAGCTGTACGATCATGAATGCACTATTCAGGAGTTTGCACAAGTGAGGTACGGGACATGTATCTCATAAGAGTGGGTTGATAAGCATTCTTTCTTCGTTCACGCAGAAAGGTCTCGATCTCGTCCGAGTGATGTGTTGAGCGACTATCTGCCATATACAGGTCCTTCACCGTCTCCTCAGTCATACAGTCTATTGTCCTGCGTTGTATCTGAAATCCTGATGGTCGATATGCCAGACCAAGGCGTCGGAAGTGGAGCTTTGGGAGGTTTGGGATTTTACCATCATCATCCTGATGACTCAGGCTGTTTTCACAAAAGTCAACAAGAGTTTCCAGCATTTCTATCTTTGAAGGGCCAGGAAACTTCCTTCGAGCAATTTCTAGACATGAATCAAGAAATCCTTGGAAACACAGACCTGCAAAACATTATTTTTAATTTTGTTTAATATTAAATAAAACCAATACCCCGGTAATCTTCATTTCATATAACAGTATAATAGTTTACATAGTAAAGCAAACAAAATATCCATAATTACGATTCACAATCATCTTTGAACTCCATGAATAGCATATACACGTTAACCATTACTTTCATGATTAAATTATTATTGATTACAAAACAAATATCTCATCAGATTATACTTGTACTTCAGAGCTTTCAACTTTTCAAAGGTGATCAGTAATACCTTTAAAGTGATTTAAAAATAGAAAAAAAAATCACAAATTTTCATTGTTTCTCCAAAAAAGGAAGTATTACTGTAAGCCGTGACAATAGTTTGCCAATTTCAGCATCTGCACAGTGGCAGCGCACTGCTGGTCATCAACCAGGGGGAGGAAATCTCAACAACAGTCACTCTCTGTTCAAAAAGCGTTTTGATGATGACAGCAAGTTAGTAAGTGTAGAAAAACATGTATAACTAAGCCAAGAAGACCTAAGAAATTCTACAGTGACTCTAAACAATTCTATAGTAAAACATGTATAACTAAGCCAAGAGGACGAAAGAAATTCTACAGTGAATCCAAAACTTTCTACAGTGAAATACATTTATAAGAACCCCAGGTGACCTAAGAAATTCTACTGTGAATCCAAAACTTTCTACAGTGAAATATGTTTATAAGTCCCCCAGGTGACCTAAGACATTCTACAGTGAATCCAAAACTTTTTACAGTGAAATACGTTTATAAGAACCCAAGGTGACCTAAGACATTCTACAGTGAATCCAAAACTTTCTACAGTGAAATATGTTTATAAGAACCCCAGGTGACCTAAGACATTCTACAGTGAATCCAAAACTTTCTACAGTGAAATACGTTTATAAGAACCCCAGGTGACCTTAGAAATTCTACAGTGAATCCCAAACTTTCTACAGTGAAATATGTTTGTAAGAACCCGGCCAGGTGACCTAAGAAATTCTACAGTGAATCCAAAACTTTCTACAGTGAAATACATTTATAAGAAATCCAGGTGACCTAAGAAATTCTACAGTGAATCCAAAACTCTCTACAGTGAAATACATTTGTAAGAACCCCAGGTGACCTAAGAAATTCTACAGTGAATCCAAAACTTTCTACATTGAAATATGTTTATAAGTCCCCCAGGTGACCTAAGACATTCTACAGTGAATCCAAAACTCTCTACAGTGAAATATGTTTATTTGAACCCCAGGTAACCTAAGAAATTTTACAGTGAATCCAAAACTTTCTACAGTGAAATACGTTTGTAAGAACCCCAGGTGACCAAAGTATTAGCTCTTAATGGTAACATATTTATAACAAACTCATGCAGGGCACCTAAAAAACTTGTTCTGAACAGATAAACAGGAGTTATTGTCAAAAACCAAGGGACCTTATTTGCTATACTGTAGATATGTTTTCAATAAACCCCAGGAACCTAAGAAATTAGTTCTATTTAGGTATAATTTATTAAGCTTGATGTTTATGAGAGAACTCTTTACCAGGAGATAGAATATTAATTTGTTATAAGCAAGAATTCACAATTAATGTGTTTGTAGTAATCCTATTTTACTTAGGATTCTTTTCTATATTACCTATTGGATAATGATATTGACGAAGCAGATCTTTACATGTAAAAAAGCATATTGGCATATTGTCATCAAACTTATGGTTAAAATTTTAATTTGGATTATTTTAGGAATGCAACAAGCATTAATGAATATAAATGTTTATAAAGTATTGCCCACACTCTGCAATGTCAGAGCTTAGCGGAGTAACCTCCCTGTACATCCCTCTCCTATTTGCATACTCAGCCATGGAACATGAATGACACCCAGATGTCAGACAAAACAACTGGTTATTGATGACACAAGACTCCACTATGCCCTACAGCCTTGTAAAGGTCTCAGATTCTGTATGTTTACTACCGTTATTTTACTTTAGTTAGCACTCAAACTTTTTTTATCAGAATGAACAGACTGTTTTGAAACAGACCATGTCTGCCCTATGCCTCGGATCCTAATCCATGTAAATATTCTAAATGTCAATTTTACAACACATAAAACACAAATGACATGCTATTAGACTCTACTAATCATTGCTGATCAGCCAAAACAAAGTATTCCCAAGTAAAGTTTGCAAGATAATGGACATAAATATGATGGTTTGGACAAAACTGCATTGGATTAAATAAAGATTGTCCTTAGGAATGTTCCATCACAAGCCTATAACAATGTCCTCTTTTCTTTATTCAATTCACTCCTTAATAAGAAATATTGATCACTCAATCATTTTCTACCATTAGGGAGGATATAAGACGGACAAAAATCAACCCAAGGTCATTAATATTACATAAACCAATCCAGACTCTTGACCCAACAAGGGTCATTAATCCTAACCATCAACCCTAAATGGACTAACCCTGACCATCACCAAAAAACCCCGAACCTAAACCATTGACCCCATGTTGATCTATCCCAACCATCATCTGATCCAGACCAACCCGACACCATGGACCAATACCTGCCTCAACCCTATGTGGCCTGATCCAGACCAACCCGACACCATGGACCAAACCTGGCCTCAACTCTATGTGGCCTGATCCAGACCAACCCGACACCATGGACCAAACCTAGTCTTAACTCCATGTAGCCTGATCCAGACCAACCCGACACCATGGACCAAACCTGGCCTCAACCCCATGTGGCCTGATCCAGACCAACCCGACACCATGGACCAAACCTAGACTCGACGCCATGTAGCCTGATCCAGACCAACTCAACACCATGGACCAAACCTGGCCTCAATCCCATGTGGCCTGATCCAGACCAATGGGACATCATGGACCAATCTCAGGCCTCAACCCTGTGTGGCCCGATCCAGACCAACTTGACACCATGGACCAAACCTAGACTACTCCATGTAGTCTGATCCAGACTTACCCGACACCATGGACCAATCTCGGCCTCAACCACATTTAGACTGATCCAGACCAACCCTCACAACAGAGTTAACAAAGCAGTGTTTGTATCCAGTAAACCAACTTAGTTCTGTAACTTTTGAATTTTGTAATTGTTCCACCAGTAATATGATGGAGATTTATTAATAGAGCAAGTACATGTTCATTTCCAAGTTATTTTCCTTTTTTTTTATACTTTGTTTCCAGTCACATTGCATGTACCACAGGTCACATAATTAAGTTGGTCTGCAGTTACAGTGCATGTTATAGAATAAAGACAGATTCAAATTAGTAAATGCAGTGATCGCACAAACCTTAACTCAGCCCTACAGAATTTAAATTCACAGAGCACTGTTTTTCTGGTTTATATATGTTTGCATTAATGTTTGCTAGATCTTTGGATTAGAAAAGGATTCTTCATTCAAATTGATTTTTTTATGTTCACAATGGATTTTCCATACAATTGACGTTTACATCAGTGATTGATTCTACTTACAAAATACTGTTGGATTCACGATAGATTCTTGTAAGAAATTTATGTTTTTGTTCAAGAAGTATTCTCTACACAAGATGATTGTGGAATTCACAATGGATTCCCATTACAAAATTGATTCCTGAGCAACGCAAAAATTAGTATCATACAAAATATAATGGATTTGTAAGAATAATTTGACTGAAATTTAAAAAAATGTTATAACCAAGAAAATAATCATCACTAACACATTATTAAATTCCATTACTGTAAATACACAAAATAAAACTCTTTGTTTTTTTACGTTTTCTGCTTTTTCTTTGAGTTGTTTCACTGCCTGTGATTCTCATTCTGATACAAGGAACGTACCTTACTATAAACTACAAGAAATAAGTTTTCGTAATTTTGAATTCTAGATAATGCAAAATTAATCTGGTCTCCTTTACATGATCCTGACTGAATTAATTTTCAAAGTTAATTACAACCAACAAGTTTAAAACATGTGTTAATACTTTATAACAATAAGATGAAACAAAGCCAAAAGGATTGGTAGGGCACACTGGCAGTAGAAAATGTTAAGTCACTTTGCTGGTATAAAAGCTGGTCTTGTTACTGACAAAGGCAAAATTTAATGAGTTATCTAAAAATGAGAGATCATGTGATCATCACATGCAAGTATGGACCAATCAGAAGAAATCATGATAACTAGTATGGAAGGCATGGGATATTGGTTGCTAGGCAGCTATTGCCTTGGTGACACTAAATAATTACCCATCATACAATATGTCACCCACCTACGGTACTCTTGGACTTTTTCTCTGACATAGCTGAATATAACGGTTCAGAGAAATGAGGTTTAATATGGGTAGAAACACTATTATCGTAATCAAAGCTTGACAAAAACTTAAATATAGATAATAGAAAGCAGAAAAATGAAGAGGAAAACAGTATTTATATAAGTAGTGCTCAAACTGTACAATCAGACACTCAGCAAGTGTTTATATATACATTTTACATTCAATGAAAAACCAGTACACCGAATTCCTGATATAAGGGGAGATAACTATGTACATAATTTGTCTTTTTCTTATTCTTCTTCTTCAAATACACTCTCAAATATTGTCTGATTGCACAGTACAAAACCAGCACATGTACTAAAAGGTATTTGATATTTGAATAAGTACACAAAATAAAAGAAATATCAAATTTTCAAAATAATAATATTGGTATTATAAAGATAAGAAAAGATTAGCTGTTATTATTACAAGGCAATTATGTACAGTATCATATAGCTAGCAATTGTCATCCAGGAAAAGCATACATTGAATGAGTTGTATATCAATTTAAATTAGTTTCCATTTTATCGAAAATAGTAATGTTGGTCATTAGCGAATCTGAAATTCTTAACTTATTCCTTTAAAAAACAATTTACATGCCACAAGAGTGTTGTTAGCACTAGATACTTTAAAATACTACAACAAAGCATGCATATTGTACTGAATAGACTAGGTAACTACCGGGAAACAATCATGTATTCACATCAAAACAAACTACTAGTGTTCAAATCATAAATATAAAAAAATGTGCAAAACTGCAATCATTCAAATAAATTTATATGGTACCTTGCAACATTAAATCAAATCAATTGTTTTAGAGATATATAAGAGTTGTCTCCCTGGCTCGACAAATAGGAACTCAACACATAAATAATCTCTTTAATCTGTGTTATACTCTATAACACAGGTGAAAGATAAAGAATGTGAAAAAGGTAAGTCACTCACAGTCATAAAACTAACCTAGGCTTAAGTCTGTGAAACAGGTAAGGCACTCAGGGTCATACAACTAACCTAGACTTTAGTCTGTGAAACAGGTAAGGCACTCCGGATCATCCAACTAACCTAGACTTTAGTCTGTGAAACAGGTAAGGCACTCAGGATCATACAACTAACCTAGACTTTAGTCTGTGAAACAGGTAAGGTCCTCAGGACCATACAACTAACCTAGACTTAAGTCTGTGAAACAGGTAAGGTCCTCGGGATCATAAAACTAACCTAGACTTTAGGTTGTGAAACAGGTAAGGCACTCAGGATCATAAAACTAACCTAGGCTTTAGTCTGTGAAACAGGAAAGGCACTCAGGATCATAAAACTAACCTAGACTTTAGTCTGTGAAACAGGTAAGGCACTCTGGATCATAAAACTGACCTAGACTTAAGTCTGTGAAACAGGTAAGGCCCTTACGATATAAAACAAATCTAGACTTAGTTCCAGTTTACCTGATGTCACAGTACCATATTAAAAACTGGTTTTACATAAAGGTAGATCTAAGCATTACACACTGCATTTTTCTACTAAATCTTGATATCCCAAGAAAAGGATTTATTTGTACGACCGTTGAAGTTCAGACTTAAGTCTTATGTTGTTTCAAGACAGTAGAACAAGATCTCACATGAGTATATATGTGTCACAGGTGAGAAGTCAGTATGACCGCTAATGTTTCGGAATGAAGACAACAGTGAGGCCAGTTTTGTGTCATGGCTGTGACAATATACACACGACATACCAGATGTCCGGTCAGGGTTCATGTGGTCCCAGCGGCGTTGCATGTCTATATACATGATATCCACAGCAGCGTTGGTGATGCCCCGCCTGCTCAGTCGACACTTCCTGCAGCACATAATAATTTCTGTATATAGTCAGTGTGAATTCGGTGTCTTATTTGGTTGACAGAATAGGATCATTTTTGGGGCTATACAGTAGATAAAACAAAAATGTGCACTTCATATAAATACGCAAGGTATAATTTATGCACTTTTTGGCTTTTTTATGGTAATCAAATGAAAACTTTTGAATACAAAAAAACATGTTGTCAATATCATTTCTTATCAAGATTCTATTCATCAGGCATGCAATACAGACAAGAGTTTTGCAGAATTGCTATAATTTGTTTTTGAATTAATATCCTTCTTCTTGTCAATTGAAGTAATGATCCAGTGTATACAACTTCACTACCTGGCAAAGGTACGGAAGCCTGTGGGGCCGATCCTCAGTGACCCCCTGACCCCTAGAAAGCTGATGAAAAGGTTGGCGACTCGCTCAAGAATCCTTAAATGCTCTAATTCCTCGTCATATACAGCAGGATACAATTGCTTCAGACAGCTATCTTTGGACAACTTTGTCAAAATCTTAACAAATCTTTCATCATCATCTAGATTTTCATCCTCTGGGTGACTGTCCACGAGGTCTTCTTCCTCTTTTTCATCTGGCAACGTAAGAAAGGCATTATTTAAGTACTGGTTAATATACGTATGTCATTGTACTATATGGTAATCGGTTACTCTCTTCCCTCAACATTCGGCCCTGATCTTAGTTATTGTCAGTTGGCATTGTTTACATTAAGGTGGCTCGACACATCGTCATCAGCGTCCATTTTCGTGACATACTTCCGGAAAAAGTACAGCTAGGACTCAATTATTTTAATCGAAATGTGCATGTACACCGTGTCGTCATTTCCGTATTGCGTATCGGGCATTCAATATCGTAGTGCAAATTATAGTAACACCTGCTGGGCCGTTTTCGTTTAAACGGTCAAACCGATCGGACCACTGTTGTTCGTTTATTAAATAAGGTCGGACCTAGTAATCTGATGCTGCTTTCAGGCGAGTCTTGAGAAAGCCTTGCAAGGCCTGCATACACATTTGCAGGTCCGCCAGGATTTACACCCGAAATTGTTACATTTATAAACGGTCAAACCGGTTGTTCCGCATAAACGAACAGGCCCATGGTAAACAATAGTACACGTGCGTGCCGATGATATGTCAACACCCGATATCAAGATTTTACCGGGAAATGTATACTCACACGTACTTCAGGAATAAAGCTTTCCAATTCATAGACATAAACAGACTCACGGGAAGACAGTGACATGAGACCAGACGACCTCA